GTTGCCATCACCCGAATGCTGCAATAATAATCATACTGTCGTATTACCCATCGGACAGGACAGCAGAATAGATGAGAGATGGAAAGAGAATGAAGAATAAAAAAAAAAAAAAAAGTAATAACACATAAATTAAGATGGAAAGAAGAGAGACCCTTGCTCACATCAGAGTGATCAGCGCTGCCGAAAACACCATCTACCCACGATCGGCCGAGGACGGAAGACGACCCTCCCCTACCGGGAATATGCAGTAATAGATAGCATCTTTGATGTGAGAGACTTCTCATAGACTTACAGCAAAGCCTCTCTCTCTCTCTCTCTCTCTCTCTCTCCTCCCCCCCTCCCGCCCCCCCCCACACACACTCTCTCGCGCGCGCGTATCTGTATGCAGATACTCGTACTTTGTGTATTCGCCGTATGCAGTAGGACAGGGGTTGTACATGTATCAGTCCCAATGTCGAGAGCTTGGCAGCTCCTGCAGTCCTTAAGCACACGCCCCTACCGTGCAAACACGAGAAGGAAGAGATACCGTATTTCCGTGGTTATCACTGTCACCCGTGCAGTATTGAATCCTTTCTTACGAGACTGGACGGGGGGGGGGTGGTAGGCTGCTCTTCACCACAACGCCAGATTCTCTTTTCCTCATTCGTGTTGTGTTGTTGTGTGTGACTCTTGACTCTGGACCCTTGCATCGAGAAAGGCACATGGCGATGATGAGTATTGATATCGTATCTCCCTGAGCTTCGCGGAGAGCGGACTCTGAATCTCTTGGCCAGTCTTTTTCTTGAAAGTCTCTTATTTTTATTCTTACTATTACCATGTATAGGTCTATATAGTGTTGCCATTGACTTTACCTTGAAGATGGACACAACCGGATACCGCTTCCGAGGTCCGTGAGGTTTCGCAAGGTTTTCTCGACGGCGGCTCTCGAATGGAAGGGAAATACGAGCGGGAAGAGGAACCGGAATTAGACGGGACTTTGTTGGCCCGATGCTGTCGTGATGGTCCGTAACATTTGGTCCTGCAAGGCAATCGTGGCATGTACTAATACTGCGTATGGACAATGTCTCTTCCTTTTCTTTCTTCTTTCTTCTTCTCTCCTTTCCTCCCCCCTCTCTCTGTCTTTATGTTGTATATTATACGTATCATACTAGGGCTGAAAAAGGAAAGAGAAGATCTAGGCCGAGACATACATGTCTCGGTAACTTGGACCCAACTTAATATATATACATATATATATACGAGTGTGAGACATCTTATACCCGGACTCAATCACCAAAGTCTCTTTCTGGCGACACTGGCTCGTGCATAGAGTACATCTTTCTCGGCTGCCGTCCCCTTGTTCGAGCGCAGCTGCTGTGCCATACTATAGAGAGATAAGCCGGGTGCAGGCCTGATGGGTTTCCTGCCCTGCACGAGCTGTATTGATATCAATAGTTCCCCGTCGCACATGTAGCTGTGGCTTGAAAGTAGCGTCTGCCTGCGGTGCACGTCGTCGTTGTCAATGGACGCGGCGGCATGTTGGCACCGAGGGCCAAGCCTTGTCACGGCTGGGCCTCAATCACATCCTTTACAATCATGCGCATCTCTGGGCGGCGGTGAGGGAGAGAGAGAGAGAGAGAGAGAGAGAGAGAGGGGTGGGCGGGACTGGGCGACAATCCACACTTCGTTGCTGCATACGTTGTAATATTACGATTGCCTACATGATACAGGTTGCACCCCTCTCGCGTGCGTGCATATATCCCGTATTACGGGTTGCTGGATCGAGTTCCGTATCATACAACGAGAATCTTGAATAATCATCATGCCTCTTTTTTTCAAAAAAAAAAAAAAAAAATCAGTTTTATATATTTTTTCTATTACCTGTACTCTCCGATACAATACGGAGCGTTGGAGCAATACATGCATGATCACAACAAGCACTGGATTTCCCATGGAACAAGCACGTGGCGAGGTCAGGGTCATCGAAGGAAAACTCCCCCAGTCCGTTCCGAGCAGAGAAACCCTCGAATCAGAGTGGGGAGAGTCGAGGAGTTGCGACAAGGAAATAAGAAGAAAAAAAATTGGCAACCTGCCGAGATGTAGGCCCTGCTCCTCCACCATGGGGTTGTCATCCAAAGGGCCCGAATACTCGTATCTGCTCTTGGTAGTCGTCTTGGCGAACGGGGTACGAGTGCTCGTACAGCCAAGTTGATGTCGAAAAGGTCGGTTAGGAGGATGTAGACAAGGAGCTTTCCTTGAAAGAGGGGGAAGAAGGAAGAGTGGGAGTGGAGAGAGAGGAGAGACAGAGGAGGGCGTGTTGATAGAATCTGCCAGTACGACTGCTAGGAGCAGGAGGAAGAACGCAACGCTTCCTACTCGTCTGGTAGAGAGGGTGTGTCATCAAGCAGGAAGGATGCGTTCAGGGGTCCCTGCAGGTGTGTTTATGAAGCCACTCTGTTGACTCTGTACTTGTGTGTGTGTTTATCAGTTGAAGGTTACGATGACGACATAAACAACAACAACAGCAGCAGCAGCAGCAGCAGCAACTACTACTAATACTACCGCTACTATTACCATCAGCAACATATAACGGCATGCATCGCGAGTACGGGGTGCCATACACGCATGTACACATATACATGAGCATCCAAGTACCTCGTCAGTGAGTGGGTGTATGCAATCAACCTCGTTCCTCAGCACAGATTCCCAAGTTGCGCCCTAGTACATGTAGAGAGAGCGTGCGTCCCCGATGCTACAGTGATGCCTCTGTCCTCTCGACTTACAGATACGAGCGGATCCTGGCTCGTACATGTATGCTACCGGACGATACAGGTACACGAAACGCCGTGCAGGTCAGGCGTCGGGCCTATCGTCCTCCCTTCTTAGCTGCAAGGCCAGCGGGACTCTCTTCCGGCCCAGCCTGCAAGCCTCATGCGAAGCCAGGGTCTTGGCCCGGCTGCTAGGCCGCTCCGTACGAGGATGTGGCATGGCCGGACTGTTTCCTACCCCAGAGTCTAGACCGATATCTCCCGCATCCTGAAGCTGACCTGGGACGCCACTGTCACGGGGCACATGGGCCCGTGTCCGGTAGATGAGTCCATCCGAGGACGGGTGTGCGCTTCTCAGCGATGCCATCACTGGGCGCCCAGTCATCACCCAACGCGCCTGCGCCGTGGACGGATGCCACTGACTCCGCCGCCGCTCCATTGCCGACCATCATCTGCTTCTGTGCACTGCACTGCCCCGATACTTGCCTTGCTTCTCATCTTTCTCGATCCCTAGGTGAGAGAGTCTTCATCCTTCTCCGTGCACCCTCCGTCCCTTACCCCTCTAGGCATCCACGAGCTCTCTCCCGGCACTGCAGGTGATGCACACGCTCTACGCGACATCGAGACCTTCACCCCTCAGAGTGTCCCATCGCGCACGTACGATCACGCAGCCATGGAGCGGGATCCGTCCACCCCCAGCGGCTCATACGGCCGTCCGTCCGCTCCCGCGCCCTCCGCTGCCAGCTCGGCCATCATGACACCCCTCGGCCCCGGCACGCCCGGCACGGAAGCCAGTCGCAACCCGTTCGGCGGAGCCGATACCCCTCCGTCCCACCGCCAGGGCCCCGGCCTGGGGACGAACCCGTTCGCCAGCCCGGATGCCTCGCGCCCGGGCTCGAGCTACGGCTCGTCCGGCAGCATGCCCCAGCAGGGAGGCAGCCGGCGCTTCTTCCACTCGCGCCGCGTCGTCAAGGGGGAGGTCGAGAAGCCTTGGCTGGCCAGGAAGGAGTCCAAGGAGAAATGGGTCACCATCCTCCCCCTCGTCGGGATCGCCATCGGCCTGGCCATCTCTGGCTTCCTGATCTGGGATGGTCTCAGCGGCGTCAACAAGCACAAGTACTGTCCCGTTCTCGATGACGAGTTTGGTGGCTCTCTCAACACAGACATCTGGACCAAAGAGGTTGAAGTTGGGGGATTCGGGTACGTTTTGTCTTCTCTCTATCTTCTTTCTATCTTCTTTCATCTTCTTCGTTTCTCTTTTCCCTTTCCCTTCTACATCATCTCGACTAGAATCCATAGCCCCCTCCCCCCCTTCCTTGCGCCGGCAGTGCTGACATGTCACGCATGATAGAAATGGAGAATTCGTCCAGACTACAGGTGGAGATGAGAACATCTTTACAAAGGACGGCAGCCTCATAATCAAGGCCACGCTCCAGGATGAGGACAAGATGAAGACGGATACGGTCATCAACCTGCTGGACGACGGGTCGTGCACGGCGGACTCGTGGTCCAGCTGCGTGGCGTCGACCAACACGACGGCGGGCAACTCGAGCGTGGTGCCCCCCACCAAGTCCGGACGCATCAACACCAAGAAGGGGGCGACGGTCAAGTACGGGCGCGTCGAGGTGACGGCCAAGCTGCCCAAGGGCGACTGGCTGTGGCCGGCCATCTGGATGATGCCGGTCGAGGACACGTACGGCCCCTGGCCGTCCTCGGGCGAGATCGACGTGATGGAGTCGCGCGGCAACAACTGGACCTACGCCCAGGGAGGCAACAACATCGTCTCGTCGGCGCTGCACTGGGGTCCGGACGCGGCCAACGACGCCTGGTGGAAGACCAACAACAAGCGGAGCGCGCTCCGCGGCACCTACGGCGACGGCTTCAACACCTTCGGGCTCGAGTGGTCGCAGAAGTACCTCTTCACCTACGTCAACTCGCGCCTCCTGCAGGTCATGTACACCAACTTTGACAAGCCCATGTGGGACCGCGGGGCCTTCAGCCGGGCCACCGTCAACGCCAGCCGCGTCGTCGACGCCTGGAGCCAGACGGGCCACGACAACACCCCCTTCGACCAGAGCTTCTACCTCATCATCAACCTGGCCGTCGGCGGCACGAACGGCTGGTTCGACGACGGCAAGTCCGGCAAGCCCTGGATCAATGACAGCCCCAACGCCCCCAAGGACTTCTGGGACGCCCGTGCCCAGTGGCAGCCCACCTGGTCCCAGCCGCAGCTCGAGGTCAAGAGGGTCGTCATGCTGCAGCAGTGCGACGGGGATGAGGAGCTGTAATCATCAATAGGTATACCATTACCATTCAGCTCTTGCACTCTCAACCCCAACCCCAACCCCAGACCCAGACCCAGACCCAGACCCGGATGGATAATAAGAGGGCGGCGCTTCGAAGGAATGGTACGACCAGTGTTATCAGAGGATTTGTTACTAGTTTCTTTGCCATTTGGTCTCTACAAATTAATATCACTTTATGAGATGTATACCAAAACTTTTTTTTTTTTAAAAAAAAAAAAGAAGAAGAAAAGATCGTATTTCCCCATCCAACAATCAGGACCGTTATTTATAACCACGATCATAACGGCGAGGAGTTGATGCGACGGCAGTTTCCGACTAGTAGAGACACCAACTGAACACACCCTTTTCCAAAAGCCAACAATATTTCCATGTATTCTACGCGAGGGACGACGAAGAAAAACGTAAGAGGATACAGATGTAATCGGGCATCATCTCACAGAGCGCCTCACCTAAAAATGGGAACGGGAAGTCCAGAGGGAGACCTTGACGGAGAACTTCACTTACATGGAGGGTCACATGGTGAAGCTCGTAAAAACAGCTCTTCTCGTACTCTTTATACATTCTTTCATCATTCTTTTCCTCGGTATATCTCTATTGATAAACTCACATATATATATATGTGTGTGTGTGTGTGTGTGTGTGTGCGTGACAAGCAGTCCATCTCATTTCTCTCTTATAGTATCATGCCATAATCTTCGTGGGCCCTACCTCAACATTCCCGTCGTCAGAAAGATTAAAGGAAGAGTTGGAACCAAAGGAATGAAAACAAAGAATAAAAAGACCAGTACAGACGAGATCCGTCTCTGTTGTGTCAAGGATTCTATCTCGGGAACCGGGATGTCAGAGCAGGGGGGGTTGGATATAGAATATAGACAAATATAGATTTAAATATTGTTCAATAATACTGTACGGCATGCATCTAAGCGAAGGAGTGTGTCTCTATTCAGTTACCTCCGTCTCCTTTCCTGTTCTCACTGGACGACCCCTGCAGAAGAATACGAGTAAAGAGTAAGAACGGAGACATGGGGTAGGGGGGGGAGGACGATAGGCCAACCATCTACGATGGAAAGGAAAAACTGTTGAGACTGAATCGGAAACAGTCAGGTCTCATCATCACCCGGTGCACATGGGACCGTTGACATGGGCCACTGTTCATCCAGCGGCGTGGGAGATTGATGATTGGATATGGTGAACACACACACGCTCAAGCATCGCGCGTGTGGTCATGCTCGATGCTCTCCCAATAGTGTAGTCGACAATTCTCCTCCTCCTCCTCCTCCTCCTCTCTCGCTCTCTCTGATCGTGCTCGCTCGTATTGTTTCCGGGCTATGTCGAAAGCTGTCATCAGTCGTTCCCGACCCGACTGGAACGCCGGTTTCGATATGACTACATGCGATATCCTGTACATGGTATGAATAGTCATCGCCATGACCTTCAAGTCAGATCTCATGTTGTTGTTGCTGCTACTGCTACTATTATCACTACTTACCGCCATTACAATCTCCACCACTCATACTGTCAGTAGTAGTACCAGACCAACCCATTCATATTCACAAGAGGTACAGAGGATTCGGTGCATCATCTGCCTCGACAAAGTGACCGAAAAAGTTCATACGAGGAGGCATCACAGTAAATTATAGGGCGGGTTGCACACGGACTGCATGTACGGCTTGGGTACACGTAGTAACAGCGTAAACCGACACTGCCAATAATATGAATGCAGAGGAAAAGAAGGAAGGGAAGGCAGAATATTATCATATTATCCATCCTTGTTGGCTGCGGTCTTGGCCTGCATCATGCAATCGGCAATACGAGGGACAGAGAGATAGGGGGGGTGGGGTAAGAGTATCACCGGAAGCCGGCAGAGAGAGAGAGAGAGAGAGAGACATTGATCAGTAGCGATATTTGGAGAAAAGTAGAAGAAGAAGAAGAAGGCAGCTCTGCAGATACTCAGGCGATGATAGCCATCATGCTCACCTCACCCCAAGTCCCCCCCCTCTTTTCCCTTCCAACGTTCCAAAGAACCTAGAGAATATATTGATAGTACGGGGAAATGACGGGATTCTGTCCTCTCACTCATTCTATCTGTTCTTTATTTTTATCTCCATATCTCTGTCTCCTATTATAAAGTACACACACAATATGAAGGGAGATGATATCGACGCAGAGCCATCATGGATACGTTGGAATGCACGCCACGTCGTTCATTCTCCACACCAACCCCAACCCCAACCCCAACCCCAACCCCAACCCCCCTCCGACCGCTTGTTATCCTTGAACTCTTTCCGAGTATATATAACTTCTTTCACACCATCTCCATCTTTATCTTGCAGGATGATAGCATACTTCTTCTTCTCTCTCTCTCTCTCTCTCCATCTATGGTCGAGTAAGCGGCTTTCTCTCTCTTTCCCTTGCTCCTCTCCTTCTTGCCTAGCGTGACTCTTCATTGCGTCGTGGGAGCTGCTGCATGTATTCCTTGCCATGTATTACATCCGCAGCTACCTTGCGAGGACTGGTGCTCTGCCAATCGTAACGTAATCTTGTTGTTGAGAGCAGAAAAGAAGAGAAGAGGAAATAGAGGGGGGAAAAGAGAAGCATGTAGTTGGCTCAGGAACCCTCCTGCTTTGTCCACTCCACTCCGCTTCCACTCCACAATGTGAGGAGGAGCAGGAGGAGGAGGAGGGAGAGGAGGCTGACAGTGTTTCGGTTCGGTTGGCAAGCGACAGGGATCCACACGAACAATTCCTAGGTGGTATGGACGATGCTGATACTCCCGCATTGATAATAATACAGGGTCCGTTGTGATGACTGTTGGGCCAGATATCACTTGAGAACCGAGTCCATGGCTTGACGACCGACAACAGCCCGACGGCAACGTGATCCAGTCTTCTGTAGGCTAGTCCGCGCACATCACTCAGAACGGTGCATGTCCCCCGTATCTGCCCTCGACGAGTTGAGTGACTGATCACGCATTCATGCACGGCTCACACCTCGCACGGAGAAGGGAACGTGCTGGGAGGGAAGCGCCGACGTACCGGCTTCTGATCGCGTGTGACTCTTCCACAGCAGAGAGGTCGTGCCCCGCCCGATAGGAAATGCCGTGTCCGTTGTGCGACGGGACGTCCATCCTGTTTTGGGCAACCTGTTCAGATCATAGAAACTGAGCTTACCCCATCCCGTACGTTACACTCTCCCTCTTCCTAGATACGACAGCTGCCTTTGTATTATTGGAAAGGGATATACACACACCTCTTGGGCGTGAAAATATTAGGTTCGTAAGACTTACCAGGCATGTATTATCCACCCTCCCCCCCCCCCCCCCCCCCCCCCCCCCCCCCCCCCCCCCCCCTCTCTCTCTCTTCTCTCTCTCGGCTACCATGTGCAGAAAAGATGGAAATGTCGGAATAGAGATCGTTACCCGGATTCCGCTTCTTCTTCTTCTTCTCCTCCTTCTTTGAAGAAGAGAGAGTGGTGGGAATCTCTTCATTCACACACGCCCCCTCCACCTTTTCTGTCTCGGTGCCAACCACCACGGATCCCGCAGCCCCCAAGACCGGGGAGCCCGGCCGCACGATAGATATATATTGCTATTACCTGGCATCTTGCTCGTACAGGTACGAGTATGTCGGTCGTCCAAGTCCATACACGCCCCTCGTAGGCTGCGGCACACTATACTTGTACTTCGTATACCGTTGTCGTGCTGCGTGCTGGGAACCGGCGGTAGCGATATCGCGCCTCGGTGTCTGGTCGTCTCGATATCGACCCTTCTCCTCAGGTTTTTTTTTTTTTTTTTCTTTCCATTCTTTCTTTTCTTAACTCGTACCGCCAACATATAGCCAATGCCGTCGAAGGGGCCTCCAGTGTGACCTGCTCGGTACTGTTTCTTCTTTTCGGATAGGGATTAAGCCGTGACCGTGGTCATCTTAGTCCTCTCCCTCCCCCACGCCTTCCCATCAGGGTACGTGGATCGGTCGTCCGTCTTCTATGAAGACTTGCACTTTCTAGTATCCTGTCTTCTTCTTCTTTTCTCTTCTCATTCCTGCTTACCTTTCCTTGTCTGTACCCTGCATCCTGCCACTTGCTCTTTCTTGTAGACAGTTTCGAGATTCTCTCCCTGATCTTTGTAGTCCTCTCCCATCCTCCTCGTCTGTATAAGTCAGCTTGGTAACCTGGGAGCGCATCTTGCAGAATCAACCTTCTACCCCTTCATTTTCCTCTATCGGAGCAGTCCCCCCTTCTCGTTACCCCTTCCATAAAATCACACCTTCTCTTCCTACCCCTCTGCTCCTTTTATACATCGACGTTCCTTCTATCCTCTCTCCCTCTCCCACTCTCCCCAGATCAGTGCCTGACCTCGCTTTCTCCCAAGCCCTCAGGAGTACACTAGCACCGCATCGTCAGCCATGGGTCTGGCGAGCTACTTCAAGGCTTCGAGCCGGCAAGACGCTGCGCCCACGACTGCCCCTCCCCCTCCCGCCGCTGGCCCCGATGCTTCACCGCAGGCGGCCGCCCCGTCGCGGCAGCGGCAGCGGCAGCAGAAGCAGACGCAGCACTCGGCAGCCCCGATGTCAGAGAAGAGGCAGGGCCCCGTGGGCGGTATCGGCGACTTGGAGCTGCAGCCTCCCACCTCGCGCTTCAACTCGCGTCCCCAGTCCATCTCCGGGCGGTCTATACGCTCCAACCGCAGCTCCATGTTCGTCGACGACATCAAGCACGAGGTCATGGTCAACTACCTCTACCAGCAGCAATGCTCGCACCTCTGGGTCAGCGACGGCTCCGGCGACGTCGAGGGCGTCCTCCTCCGCAAGTCGAGGGGCGTGTACATGGCGTGCCCTCCTCAGCTGGGCAACTCGTCCTTTGCCGCCTCTTGCACCGCTCTCAATGTTCAGGTCAGATTTTCTTTCTTTCTTCCCCCCCCCGGAAAGGAGGAGCGAGTAGGTTGCGTCTGCGTACCAGTGGTTCCCCCACCCCCCCTTTTTCCTCCCAACGCAACATATGAACTGGAGAATAATATGATGGCTGACCTTTTCCCCCCCCCATCATCAGTGTGCCATAACCGTCAACTCCCGCGTCATCAAGACTTTCCTTCAATGGTCCCCCGGAGCGGTCGATGTGCCCCTGATGAATGGCCTGAGGGTGCAGATTCTCCCGACCATAGAGGACCTGGCGCGCGCGAGGAAGCACCAGTTCGCCGCCTTTGTCGCGTCCGAGGGTCTCCTGGTAGTGTGGGACGACGACGCCCTGCACGTGATTCAGAGGGCCAAGGCCATCGAGTCGGAGCTCATGGAGCTCGTCTGGAAGCAGGGGGGCGCCGACGACGACGACTCCGACGAGAAGGCGGGCCCGGCCGCGGACGATTCCGAGATGGACGAGGAGAGCGGCGAGGTCAGGCCTGAGAGGCGGCCGATACACCTGCAGAACAGCGTGCTCGTCATGCTCACCCTGATCATCGTCATCCTCGCCCTGGGCGCGGCCTGGCGCCAGCTGGCCATCGAGGTGTCGGTGGACGGCGACTACAGCCGGCTGGGCCTCGTGGCTCTGTTCCCCGTCCAGATCTTCTTCACCCTCTTCTTTGCTCAGGTCATCGTCGGCTGCCTGGCGCAGATCTTCGGCCCCATCCACCAGCTGTCGGTCAACTCCAAGTTCTACTCGGCGCGTTCCCCCCGGCAGCTGCAGACCGACTCCCTCCCGCACGTGACGATCCAGTGCCCCGTGTACAGGGAGGGTCTGCAGGGCGTCATCATGCCGACGGTCAGGTCCGTCAAGCAGGCCATCTCGACCTACGAGCTGCAGGGCGGGTCGGCCAACATGTTCATCAACGACGACGGCCTGCAGCTCATCTCGGAGGAGGACCGGCGGGCGCGCATCGACATGTACGCCGACAACAGCATCGGCTGGGTGGCGCGGCCGAGGCACGGCGAGAACGGCTTCCTGCGCGGGGGCAAGTTCAAGAAGGCGTCCAACATGAACCACGCCCTCATGATCTCGTGCAAGGTCGAGGACAGGCTGCAGGCCATCAGCCGGCCGGCCGAGTGGAGCCAGCACGACGAGGCGCAGGCCTACGAGCAGGCGCTGAAGGAGGTGCTGGAGGACGACGGCGCGACCTGGGCCGACGGCAACGTCCGCGTCGGCGACTACATCCTCCTCATCGACTCGGACACGCGCGTCCCGGCCGACTGCCTCCTGGACGCCGTCTCCGAGATGGAGCAGGCGCCGGAAGTGGCCATCATGCAGTTCTCGTCTGGCGTGATGCAGGTGGTCAACACGTACTTTGAGAACGGCATCACCTTCTTCACCAACCTCATCTACACGGCGATCCGGTACACCGTGTCCAACGGCGACGTGGCCCCGTTCGTCGGCCACAACGCCGTCCTCCGCTGGTCGGCCGTCCAGCAGGTCGCGTACCGGGACGGCGACGGCTACGACAAGTTCTGGTCCGAGAGCCACGTGTCCGAGGACTTTGACATGTCGCTCCGCCTCCAGTGCGACGGCTACACCGTCCGCCTGGCCGCCTGGGCCGGCGACGGCTTCAAGGAGGGCGTGTCGCTGACCGTGTACGACGAGCTCGCCCGCTGGGAGAAGTACGCCTACGGCTGCAACGAGCTCCTCTTCCACCCCGTCCGCACCTGGCCCTGGCGCGGCCCCTTCACCCCGCTCTTCCGCCGCTTCCTCCTGTCCAGCATCAGGTTCACCTCCAAGATCACCATCGTCTCCTACATCGGCACCTACTACGCCATCGGCGCCGCCTGGATCATGACCGCCGCCAACTACTTCCTCGTCGGCTGGTTCAACGGCTACCTCGACAAGTACTACATCGACTCGTGGCAGGTCTGGTTCTCCATCATCATCGTCTTCAACGGCCTGGGCAACGTCGCCCTCGCCATCATGCGCTACCGTATCGGCGAGAGGTCCCTGCTGTACTCGCTCTTGGAGAACTTCAAGTGGACCGTCATGCTGGCCATCTTCCTCGGTGGCCTGTCGCTGCACGTCAGTCAGGCCCTGCTCGCTCACATGTTCGAGGTCAATATGACGTGGGGTGCGACGAGCAAGGAGGCCGAATTCTCAAACTTTTTCATCGAGGTCCCCAAGGTTTTGAAAAAGGTCCGTTGCTTCTTCTTCTTTCCTCTCATTCTTGGATGGACAATCCTCTTCCCGTATATATACCCCTTCCCCTCCTCTCCCTCTCCCCTCCCCTCCCTTACCTCAACGTAAGCCGATGGATCCCAGCCCGGATTCGTTGGCGGCTCCAGCGGATCAGAATCAGGCATCAACCTCTCGACCCGGCGGATCAGCTGGATCACATTCCCAGACGCCCACCACACCCACCTGCTCTTCTCCTTCTAGTCAGAGACTCCTCTATTCCGTTGGTTCCGTGTGCTGACATCAACTTTTTTTCCGTCCTTTTCTTTTTTTACAGTTCAAAGGATCAATCGTCTTCTCTCTCCTATCAATTATCGCCATGATCGTTCTGGCTGTTGCCCCCTTTGTTCCTCACGATTGGAAGATCACCGACTTCGTGGCTATTCTGCCCATGGCCACCGTCGCTGCTAGCCATTTCCTGCTTCCTCTGGCTTTGAACCCTGCCCTCATGACATTCTCATGGTGATTGCACTCACTCTCCTCTGTTTACATTAATTTTTTTTTGTTTTCCTCGTCTCGTCTATCTAAACCTGTCTGCTCTGCTCGTGATCCGTTGAACAGACATTTTCCTAGTGCGGATGTGAGAGATGGTTACTCCGCCTTGTCGAGACAATGATGAGGACAAGTTTATACAGACTCCCATGATGCTTACTATTCATCTGATCTTCTTTTTTTTTTCCCTCTTTTTGTTGGGCTTGCTTTATGATGATACGAAATGGTACTAGGGAATTTGGTATTAATCGTTACTGAGACTGGAGACAAGGTGCGCACGGTATGATGGACAGTCAATCTCTCTTCTTCCATATTCCCTGTCTACACTCTAAACTTGGTGATTTCCTGCCGAACCCTCCTGCGGAGAGCTATCCCTCGCTTCGCCCGCTTCTTACTCTTTACTCCCTCATACTCCTAGGTCATGTTGACCTGACTGGGGCCTTCCTACGGAGAGCTAGTTCTCGCTGCGCTCGTTTCTCTGCTGGTAAACCATGTTCACGGTTAATCGCTTGATGATGACCCTCCCTATCACATATTCCAGATGAGAATGCATAAAGCAAGTCTATTTCCCCCAAAGAAAAAACGCCTCTATATCTCGTTATATAGCTGATGCAAAAAAAAAAAAAAAAAAAAAAAATTAAAAAAAAAAAAAGAAA